ACCATCACGTAAGCATTTCAATTAACCTAGATTTACAGCTTCACTTCTGTCTTCCCAATGCATCCAAGAAACTATGAAACTAACTTATTAACAAAAGCAATGATATTTAGCTGGGGAGAATTATGTAAGCAATTAAGAGCCAGGCAGAGACCAAGTCCTTTGTTATCAGACACACCCAGGCATTACACAGCCACTTTCGATTCACACCTCCTTTTCTTGATTCTCTGGTATTTGTGCTTAAGATACTGACTTTAACACAGCAAGAGAATACCAACTAATAATTCTGTATTTATCACCTATATATGCTGTTTGAAAAAATGGGAAGATGCTACCTGGCACGCTTTCAGAGACAAAGGTGCATGCCTTTCCAAGCAGAACAGTAGATATAGGCCTTTACCTACAAAGCTTACCAGATGAAGACATTTTCTTTAGCATTTGCTTGATTACTTTGGTTTGCATCTAATTATACAGATGGCTGAGTGGTTTTGTAATTTTATAGCTGGCCTGTGCTAGTAATTGATGTGGTAGTGTCAGTCTTACTGAGGCTGGTTTGGAAATGCATGGGTTTGAAAAGCTGCTTGTATTTAAAGCCTCTAGTTACAATGCAACAGATGAATTAAATGAAAGAATGTTAAACAATGTTGTTTTTTATTTTTCTGTGGATTTTACATAACTGTACTATTTGTCCCAAGACAACACTGGAACCATTATATCAACGATAAAGATTGTGGCTGACTTTGCAAGTCCTTCAAAAACATAACCCCTGTATACACACATTGTGTACCTGTCTTCCTGTCTGTTTTCATTAATCTAAAACGAAGAAGTTTATTTTTAATCCAGAAAAAATAATTTCTTAACCCTCAGGCTGATTGAACACTAGCATGTGAGAAAGGAAAATTAAAACAAACAAACAAACAAAATCCACAATAAACTTATATTCATTTTCACCCCTAGTTCATATTGATGAATATAAAAGTAAATAAACCCCTGTACTAATGACATAAATCTACATTATTTTCTGGAGGTAGAATGATGATCTTTAGATACGCCCTCCAGAGTCTCAAGACCTCATTATCTAAAAAATGACTTGTCCTATTTCCACCATAACAACACTGATCGACGTCAGTGCAGCGTCCTGAGCGAGTGATGATAGTTATGCACCTTTTCCTGTAGCAGTCTGACATGGTTTACTTTCAGCAGCTTTCAAAGGCTGTATTTTTTGGACTATTGACAGGTGTTTTGTCCTTCTTACTCTGTTGTCACAATTTGATTCTCATTTGGGTTCGAGTTGATTCATGTCACTGGATTGAGATAGTCCATGATATCTCTGGCAACTCACTTAGCTCTTCTGTCTGTTCTAATGTATGCAAAACACAAAGATGGACTAGATCCATGAGATGCTAAACCTAAATTTTAGAGAACTTAGCTGTTAAGATAATCAACTCCCCTGTCAGGAGTGCTCTTATGTTCTTCAAATATTTGCAGATACGGAGCCTGAAAAGAGGATTTGCAAAAGCCTTATTTATCCAGCAGCAAGTGCTAAAAGCACAGCCCCTTCTCTTAAACTAGATGTATGCATGGGTAGTTTGTCTCCTTTTGCTCCTTTTGCAATAGTAGTGAAAGCATGCCTGAGGTCCAAAGCCAAATCCCTCTTTTCCCTGAATAGGCTTGAGGCCTTGGAATACCCTAAAGGAACAGCCTGAAGCTGATGGCTTTTAACCAATAAGCCCCACGTACCAACTTCTCACAAATCTGTACCTATAAATGTAGCCAGTCATGAAAATGGTCAACAGCAAATTCCCTACTGCCTTGGGACACCTAAAACATATTTGGACTGTAGATATATGAAGAGTTCAGCAGCATTTCAGGAAGCAAACAGAGAGATGAAGGCAGACTCCAACTACTGCAGACTCCTATGCTTAAAGCTACAGCAGGCACACTCAAAGGCTTGGACTTTGCCTTACAAAACATAGTAAATAGCATTTGACAATTCACTGCATGGGACTTCAAAACCAGCATATACAGAGTGAGTAGGAAGAGTTCTTCCTGAGATGGTCATTGTAGGAATAGGTGATACCCTGAGAGATTTACACCACTGAAAGCAGAAAAGGTGGAACTGTAGAAAGACCACAGAAGGTGGTGTTATTTTTCCTCTAGAGCATGTTAAAACAGTGTTTTTTTGCAAAGAAGGAGAGAAGGAGAAGGATCTGACTTTCTGAGTACTATTTTTGTTACTCAGTCACTTGTAACCAGCAATAAATCTTCTACTGATGATTTTTTTGAGGATTTGTGCTGTACAAAGGAATTCAGCTGACTACTGTTGTCAATTTGTCCCTGTAATAGAGTAAAACTTGTTTAGTCAGTAAACAGATATGTCCTGAAGGGTGGAAGAATAGATCTATTGGGCAAGAATTTCAAGAAGGTATTATTTCTACACACTTGCTTTTGAAGTCACAGTCACAATTTTTTTCCTATGTAAAAAGGGCTGTTACACTTCTTTAAGATTTTCTTTGTTACCTTTGTTTAGATAGCACCCTGAACAATACCATTAAATCACCTTCACTAAACATCAGCTTTCACAAAGCTTATAGATCAGAAAACTGAAGAGAAGCACCTTGCCTAGAGCCAAGAGGAAACTAAGAGCTTACATCATCACATAACCTGGTGCCCAACTCTGAGTTCATTGAAATTACCCCAAAACTGTTGTTTGCAGTAAAAGAACTTATCACAAGCTCTTTATTGATCACCAGAGACACGCTCCTCACGTGTGGTCTGTTGTGCAAACCTATTTTATCCTTTAAAAAACCAAAACGTTTTTGTTGTGCCACATATAAAAATTAGCCAATGAATAGGCTGCAAGTGAAGAAATCATGTTTATTGTAGGTAATTTAGAGTTTTGAACTGTTGTTTTGCAAGGCTGTGTAACTTCATGGTCCAGATAGCATCCACATAAAATCCTAGTAGCAACCCAACTCATTCTTACACTTCTTATATCTCCTAGCAAAGTAAAATGTTCAAGACGACTACATGATTTTTTTTTTTTTGGTGGTGCTGCAGTTAAGCAGATCCTAATCTGTTTTGAAGATGAAGTAGTCCTAAGATATAAATAACCAGTGCCTCTCCCAAACAGATTTCACCAATTCCTTCAGAAAACTCACAAACTCAATGTGGTTCACTGTAAAGTGTGAGTGATAACACCCATATTGACTTTTCAAAATGTTCTCGTGTATGTGTGTTTCTGTCAGGCTTGAGGATTTTGACTCAGTGGACTGTAAAAGCAGGATCCAGTTATGGGGTTTGGGTGGATATTCAGAGCAGACCTTCCCTCAAGTTGGGAGTTGTTTAGCACCAGGGCCCTGACTCAGACTATCACTGACTGTGATCTTGCTCAAAGCCATGCAAGTGACTCACATATTTACTTCTCTGACTCTCTCTCCTCTTCCTTTAAAGTTAAAATATTGAGCCACTTTTCTGACATCAGCTCACTGCCAGCCAGCTATCAGCTGAAAGTCAACACAATAAAATGTTAACCTTTCCTCCCTGAGGTCCCTCCACCTCAGCAAATGACACCTCCACAGTCTCTGTTGTTCTGCCCTAGAACATCTGCCCAGGAGCCACATCTCAGGGCTGCTGGAACCATAGTTTGGCCACAACCTCACATGGCGTTCCATGGAGCATCCCATCCCATCCCTACCATCCAACTCCCCACCTGCATCCCTGCGGCCACAGCTCAAGCATCAGTGACACTTTCCCTGCTGTAGCCTCTCTTGCCTTTCCCCTCAAAGTGCCACCAAGTGCAGCAGAGTGGCTGTACCCATCTCCAGCACAGTGTGGAGGTTCATCTTCCTCAGGGGGCATGAGGGTGGCCTGCACCTTACCCAGCACAGCTCCTCACTGCCTAGTTCTTCTTCCTCCCTCTCCTATACGTAGGATATACACACAGGAGAGGGATGGAGTACCTCTTCTTTGGATTGCTCAGCCTGGAAAAGAGAAAGCTTTGGGGTGACCTTATTGTGGCGTTTCAATACCTGAAGAGAATTTATAGAAAAGATAGGGCAAGGCTGTTGACGAGACCATGTAGCAACAAAACAACAGGGAATGGTTTCAAACTCAAGGAGTGTAGGATTAGATTGGATATGGAGGGGGGGAAAAAATCTTTACCATGAGGGCAGTGAGGCACTGGAATATGCTGCCCAGGGAAATTGTGGATGCCCCATCCCTGACGTGGTAGGGCCAGGCTGTATGGAGCCCTGAGCAATCTGGCCGAGTGAAAGGTGTCACTGCCCATGACAGGGGGCTTGGAATTAGATGATATTTAAGGTCCTTTCCAACCGAAACCATTCCACGAATCTCCGATTCACGCTGTGAGCACTGCTACTCTGTCGGAAGTGCTACTCTCCCACCTTCTCAAATATTTTTCGGTTTCTGTGTGCTTGACGCCACGCGGGCAGGCTGAGGTCCCGTGTGCCAAAACGCACACAGCCCTGCTCCTGAGGGCTGCGGTGCCCAGGCCCGCCGAGCGCAGGATGCGCCGGGCGCGGAGCAGCGCCGAACAATGCGCCGCTCGCAGCGGGGCCTTGTGGGTAGGGGAGGCCGCGCCGAGCCGGGGGCGGGCGCAGCGCGGAGAGCGGCGAGGGCAGCGAGGCTGGCGGGGATCGCGGCTCCCGCCCCAGCAGCCGGCGAGCGCTGCAGAGCGATCCGCTCCCCCTTCGCCCCCCGCCTCCCCCCGCCCTCGGAGCGATGTCCCGGCGGAGCGGGCAGTGAGGCGGCGGCCGCCGAGGGACGCCCTGAGCGGGAGAGGCGGGGGCACGGCGGGAAGCGCTCCGTCCCTCCCTTCCAGCTCTCTCCCCTCCCTCTCCCGCGCCCGGCGGAGCGGCGGCCGTTTTCCCTCGCCCTTCATGCCCGGGCGGCGGCCACCGGCGGCGCTGCCCTCCGCTCCCGCCTCGCCGCCCCCGCCCTTCCCGGGCTCGCCGCCGCGCTAGGCCCGCCCGGCGGCCCCGCGCAGTGCCCTCCGCGGGCCCGGCTCTAGGCGGGCCGGAGGATGAGCCAGCAGCCGGCGGGGAAGATGTCGGCGGCTCCCCTGGCGGCCGAGGCGCTGGAGCCGGCGGCGGGGATGCTCGAGGGCCGCCAGAGGAAGCTGGAGTCCATGATCCGCGACCCGCGCTCCCCGGTCAACGTGGAGAGCCTGCTGGTAAGGGGCGGCCGCGCCTGGGGGAAGCGCTCGGCGGGGGAACAAAGGGAGCGCTGCCCTCGCCTCAGGCGGGCGGGAGGGAACGGGAAGGAAGGAAAGGGCTCCCGCGTCCTGAAAGTGCTTTCCTGGGGGAGGACGGAAGATCGTCTCCACGCCCCCGGCCGGGCTACCGGCAGCGGGGAGGTGGCGGGAGCGGCCCGCGCCCTCAGGACTGGGCTGAGGAGGGGACGGGCACGGCGCTCTGAGAAGAGAGCGAGCGCTCCCCGATCAGATACATCTTATTTGGCGGAAAGCGAGAAACGTCCTTGCCGAGATCTGATCCAGGGAGAGGAAAGGGCTTTGTTTTCCCTCCCAGCATCGTTCACACCGTTCGCTTTCGCGCCTGGGAATCTCAGCGTGTCCGTCCCCGAAGTACCTGCCTTTGTGTGCGCTGCCGGGCGCCCATCCCTCGCCCCCTGTGAAACGTCCCCTGGTGAAGCTGAGGTTGCTGTGTGGTGTGGAAGTAATTCAGGAAAAGGGGACACGCCTAAGGGAGAAATGCAACTGGAGGGTCCAGTGACCCTTCACTTTTATTTTTCACTGGGGCAAATTGATTCGTCTGTGTCCCTTTTCAAATAGTATTTTTCCGCGTGAGTGTATGAAATACAGTTTACCTTAGAGAGAAATCTATGCCCTTGTGAAAAAGTGTGAAAGTGGTTAGATTTTCTCATTTAACCATCTGAACTCTAGAAAGGAAGCCAAGAGACAGATTATTATAATTATTGTTATAATTGTTGTTGTCATTATTATATTATTAGTATTATAATTATTAGTATTTGAACTGAACTTGGGGGTCTTCAAATCGTACATCTCCTGTCTGCCCCAAGATTTCCAATGTGTCCCAGTCCTTGTAACAGTTGCTCAAGGCACTTACACTGTGTCTTTTTTTATGCGTTCAAATGACTCACTCCTGTTTGGACAAAAATACAGGAACTGACTGAACAGAATGTATGTCTGTGCTGTGTGGAGAATATAGGAATTTCCTATAACATCTGAAAAATGTTCTTCCCGAGGCTGTGGTGCTGTGTTACTCCTCTCGTACATGTTCAGAGGCATAATGACAGCCATAGTCAATGGAGGGGGGTGGGAAACAGTGCTACATATCTGACTGGATTCAGATAAGTTTTTGCCTAGGCCAAAGCAGAGAGAGCTGCCTCTGGGCTTCGCTCCCAGCATTTTCACTTTGGTATTTTGCTTGGAAAACTTTGACCTGTGGCCAAAAAAGAGCAGTTAAAAATAGTACAGTCGTTCTGAAAAATGCATCAGGTTAATACTTAACCCCAGTAGACTTTTTCACACTCTGCTTTTATACTCAACAGCATGATTCTTTTCTTTTCTCACCTCCCATGCCTTGGACATAGATGGAATACACTCAAATATGTTTATGTTTCTGAAGAGAAATCCTAGCTACAAAATTGAGATTGGGCTGCTCAGAACTTGATTTTTTTTTGTTTGTTTTATATGTTAGCAATTTAGACTGCTTCATGTAATACATTGAGAAAGCAAACCATGGGAGACTGTTAGCTGGATTGTAAATGCATTTTTTTACAGTAAAGGTTATCACTGTTCTCTGCACTCTGTAAGTATTGTTTAAAAAACTAGCAGCAAGTGAAATATAATGCTAATCAATCACATTTCCTAGCTTGTGCAGTCTACATATCTGTGTATGAAATAGTGGACTATTTATTACTCTTATTTAGGAAATTTGCAACAGATTTCCTGTAAAAGCACTTTCTTTTGGTCTCTGGTATTGTTGCTTTATGCAATTTGACATTAATTTTGCATTGGTGTGCTGCTAAATAGTCTGAATATGAAAGCATATTAATATTGAAAAATTTACTTGTTTACTAAACAGCTCCCTTGCAGTGTAAATTATCAAAAATGAAAATGTGTTTTCAGTTAAAAGTAGAAATACAGCAACATGAACTGAGAGTCAGGGAAAGCATCTTAAAAAGACTAGCTGGAATGCCACTATTCCATCCTCCAAAAATAACATAACCAAAACTAAAAATGTGGAATGGAATTCAAAATGGAATTCATTTCCTTACAGTGTAAAAAGTCATAAACAGCTGCTATTCTGTATTTTGTGTGCATGCTTTATTTTTGGGAAGCCGTAAAAAGTGAAAAAGTAGCTGTTGATCTATAACACATGGTGTACATTTGAAAGGCGTGAGAAGCTGAGGTAATAAGCTGTCTTTCTCTAGATAGCAATTCCACTGTCATCAAGAGATGTTTTATTCAGTGGCTCTAAATGAAGATACTTTCTTTGCGTACCTTCCTGACCACAGGATGGCTGACCACATCCATCTGTTTCTTCAGCAGGAGAATCTATGAAGCCAAATGCATTGATTGATTATGTTCCTCCCATCCCCCTTCGGGGCTAAGAGAGACTGTTAGATTTTCTAATGGGGTTTTTGCTATATTGTGTGCCTTAGCAGTCACTAATGCCTGTGTTGAGCATAATTATTTATGTTCAATTAAAACGTATCTTCAAAAAAGACCTATGCATTCTCAATTCAGAGGCATTATGAGATGGAGAACTCTGCATCTAGTTCGTTCTCACAGGCACTTGAGGGCAAAATAAAATGTCCCAGGAAACAGTGAACCAACCAGAATGTGTGGCATGGTTATTACTACTCTTTTTCTGCTAAATAAAAAAATAATCATGGAGGACTTTCTACTCATTAGCATAGATGAGGTGCACAGCCAGCACTTGGTGGGGTTCTTCTGGTTTTGGTCTGATAAAGAGATGAAAAGAGGAATGCTAGAACTGTGTACTTGGTGCTGTGATAGGTGTCGGCAAAGACATCCACAAAGGGAAGTGGTTATTGCAGCCTCATTGAGGCGTTGGCTGAGTGCTCATTCTCTCATTGTATCTTGTTGAAAGCTTCTTGTTAGGTTGCCTATGCTAAGATAAATAATTTTGGTATTGTCACTTTGGTGACAATAGCTTTCTATGGTACAGTCTTACCCTTTTTGGGCATGTAACAGTGCATTAGTGGTTATGAAAACCTGTTTTCTGTATTACATTTAGATCACGCAGACTACTTTGTAAAGCTACCATATTTTTATTATTTGCTTTTCTGCCAGTTGTGTCACCCACTAATTTAATGAAGTGACATTTTTATGTGTACTGCATGTACACATGCATGATAGCACTTAATGGCATTTGACCTTTGCTGATCCATAAGAAACCCTTCTATAAATACATTCCTACCAAATAGTTCCAAGTTGACAGCTAAATTTAAGGAGTGCTTAACAGTGCTCAAATACATTTGTGGGCATTTATGATTTTGCATATAAACTCTAACTACAGTATGAACTAAGTTATTTTGATAGTATTTCATACACATTATGTAGGGATGCGTTGGCAAGTGCTATCTTCTCTAAAACAACAGCAGATAGGTTACTGTAGACTGTGTAAAACTAATCCAGATCTCTGCTTCCTTGCCATGAGTAATTGTATCACTTCAGCACATGCTGAACTCAACTTTTGAGTTGTGTGGTGGTGACAAACAGCTCTGGTAAATCTTAACATCCTTTTCCTGCACTGCTGTGCCTGGGCTGGAGCTGTTCGAGTGCAGTTGTCCAGAGAAGGGTGCCCTTGGACTCACTCTTCAGTGCAGGCCTCAGGATTTTAGCGTTAAGCTTGAAGTTTGACATTACACTGGAGGTGTAAAATGTTGAGTATATTCTGGTGGTCTGCTATGGATGTGTCAGCTTTTGAAAGAAGGAGCTCTTAAAACTGTTAATTAGACAGTGCAGCAGTGAAATTATAAGCACAGTGCTGGGCTATGTTGGAATGCAAGCATGGTGGACTGAGAAATGGAGAAATGATTAGCAGGAAAGGACTCAAGTGTCTCAAAATACACATGCCTTGGAACCCAAACCCACAAACCAAAACTGAACTAATTTGCCATTTATTTATTTTTTAAATAAAGATGACAGGTAAACTGTATATTTACACCAGTTTGAACATGAATAGATGTTCATCTACATAGGTCGTTGCCATCAAGACCCTGAATTTTATTCTTAATGAAAAGCGGATTGTAGATACAGCTCTGACTCCCATTCTTTCAATAGGTGCATCTGTCCATAAAGATCTCATCAACTGAATAGATGCCAGCCTTGTACCAAGAGTGTTAATTGAGCAGATCACTAGGCTTAGCTCTGTTAATTCAGGGTCTCCAGGTCTTCATGGCTGATACAAGGTATTCCTTAACAGGATTTTAGCCTTAGGAACTTTCTAAGTATTTCATAATTAATATGAAAGTTGTTTTGCTTTCCTGAATTTATTGCCACACATAATTTTGAATCAGCAAGAACAATCTGTTGTGTTAATTTGAGCCAGCAAGTACAGGGAAGAGATGCAAATGTAGCAGTTAGCAGGATCTGATCTAAAATTCATTGCCCACTAAGTAATTTGAAGGCCAGATGATTCTCTGTTCTTGAAGAAATAACCTTTTCTTGTTTGTTATATTTCCTGTGCTGTTATTTCTCTCTTAGTTCCTAACTCTTTCTATAAATGTTCTATTTTTGATCTGTAATTTTAGAACATCTACTACAGAGTTAAAAATTATGATCCTTAAGGAAACAGAATTGTCTTTTGTTCATTGTTCCCCTCTGATGGGTTTATATATAACAGTATGGTTAGGTGGAAAAAGAGTTCTACTTTTCTGATAGCTTTATGTGATTTTATATTCTGACTTATACTACACTAGGATTAAAGTGTTTCACTTCTGATTTGAGAAAGCAAAAATAACGTTTTGCCCAGCTTCAGTTCTTTTTACTGTCACACGAGATGCATGCAGATTTTGTGTGTGTGTATTCATAATAGTCATGTTCCCTCCCAGTATTTCATCTCTGTTGATCAGATTGCAAAGTGTGTCATTAGTATCCATTAATTGTTCAATCTTTTTAACAACTTAAGAGAAACATAAACACACCTACACTATCAAATT